TTAAATTAATTAAAATTAACTAAAACTATGCAAAGGAGTAATTTTATACCTATAACTACTAAATGATATACTAAATGGGTTATACAATTTCATAAATAGAAACTATTACTTTTTTAACGAACAAAACTATAACACATTTATTGACAATATTGTAAAAATAATAAAAATTTTTAAGACTTTTGTAGCTATTTTTATGGATTATTAAAATAATTTTAAATTTTCTTAATTTTTCTAATATTTCAGGGCTGCAGCTCCCCCCCAAACCCCACCTCTGGCTACGCCACTTCGCGAATGGACATCGAAATGGTTTGGGAAAAAGTGAGTAATGTTGTTAAAAAAACAGCGACCAAAAGCATTGGCAAACTTAAAAGATCAAGAAATAATTAGTATAATGATGTTTGTAGAATTGCTGTAGATAAACGTAGCAAGGTAAGAGAGGACTTTATTAAGAACAACGACCAAATGATTAAGAAGTTTTTACACGGGAACGGAAGAATTTAAAAAGCACCCTTCAAAGGGAAAAAAGAAAATTTTTTGATAATTTACTACAAACTGCAGAGAATGACCATACAGAGTGTAGAATTAGAAACTATTTTAGAGTCATTTATCAGTTTAAGCAATTCAATCCAAAATGGAATGCAATTAGAGACCAAACCAGACAAATGTTAATGGAGCCTGTGTCAAGAGCTGAGAGATGGAAAGGATATTTTTAAAAATTACTAATTGGTATGATGCAAGATCAGCCAGTACTGTATACCGATTATGAAAGAGCGGAGCCACACATAGAGTATTTTAGTGTAGAAGAAATAAAAATCTCAATATTTGGTCTGAATAATTGGAAAGCACCGGTTACCAACTATATTCTAGCAGGACTCATAAAATATGAAGGCGAAGATCCGTACTTAGAAATCTACAGATTATGTCAGCAAATATGGGTAGAAGGATGAATACCGGATAGTTGGAATGATAAAATCATTATGCCTTTACACAAAAAAAGGAGACAAGTTAAAGTGCGACAATTATAGGGAGTTATCGCTCTTGTACTCAGCATATAAAATCTTCGCTAGAGTGCTATTAAATTGTATTGTCCCTTATGCAGAGAGTTGCATAGGTGACTACCAATGCGGCTTCCGGAAAGGACGGTCAATCACAGAACAATTATCCATAGTTGGTCAAATAATTGAGAAGAGATACGAATACAGGGAGAATATGTGGCAACTATTCATAGATTTTAAAAAGGCCTAGGATAGTATTCACAGAGATAGTCTCTATAATATTATGCATAAGTGCGATTTCCCGAAAAAATGAATAGCAATAACTAAAATGTGTATGGAAAATACGAAATACAGAGCGAGAATGCAAAATGTAATATCGGAAAATTTTACAGTGCAAACCGGACTGAAGCAGAGGGATGCCCTGTTCCCAGTACTTTTCAACCTTGCACTAGAAAAGGTAGTAAGGATACTACAGGACAGTGAAGGTGGCTTATTAATCGGTCAGAAAAAAAATACGGCTTTTCGGTTTCACGGACGATTTAGATATAATAGGTGATTCGCTTGCAGAATTCGTTAGCTATCTAACGCGGCCAGAGTGTAGAAGAAGCAGCAAAAAAAATAGGCCTTGAAATAAATACTGAATAAACAAAGATATTGGAATTCATTGAGAGTAGGGAAAACTCCCACGAGATGAAGGACTGAGGAAAGGAAATAAATATTCGAATAAATAAAGTCCAAAAAGCCTGTTACGCACTAACAAAATTCTTAACATCCAAAATGATGTCTAGAAAAACTTAAGTAAGACTGTATGAGGTTATTATAAGACCAACTCTCACATATGGCTGCGAAGCCTGGACGACGACAAAACATACAGAGAGAAACTTAAGGACGTTCGCGAACAGAGTTTGGAAGAAATTATATGGACCTTTGATGAAACTATGGCGAACTGGCGGAGAAGATATAACAAAGAATTGTATGATTTATTATAACTAGCACCCGAAACAAGCTTTATTAAGGACCAACGGATACAATGGTTAGGTCATATAATAAGAAGAGGGGAAAATAAAGCAGTTAGAATTGCATTGGAATGGAAATCACAAGGGAAAAGACCTAGAGGAAGACCTAGGAAAAGATAGATCGACGTGGTGGAAGAAGACCTAAAAAATTTGGAGTTGAAGATTGGAGAGGAATAATACAAGATAGAGATAGGTGGCAAAATTTAGTAATGGCGGCAAAAACTCTTAGAGAGTAGATAGGCCTAAATAAGAAGAAGAAGAAATTCGTATCAAAGTAAGGATAAAAAAAAATTCAAGTAGGTAGCAAAGTAAGGAATTATATCTCATAAACAGTATCCACAGTTTGGATCACACTATTCGACTGTCAAACACAATATTAATTTTCCATTTTCGGAAATAACTGTGTATAAAATAAATATCTAGTCAAATAATTCAAGCTACACGAACAAACCAGAAATCGGGGTTTTTCTATTTTTAATTATTTTTATTTATATTTAGTCCACCATATACTATAGAGAGGTTTAATGCGGTGGAAAGTAAAACTCGGGTTATTGATACCTATTATTAAGTTATTATTAACTTATTGTCATATTATTTTAGTCATACGGTATAACTGTACAGCATAGCAGCTATTATAGGTAGTAGGTAGAGTATAAAATACGATGACCATAGAAAAATCGGATTTTCTCAGGTTTGGGTGGGTGTACAAAATGTTATTTTGGTTGTATAAAATTGTACAAAAAAAAAGTACAAAATACTGTCAAGGTTTGGTACTATTATTCAAAAGTGGCTGTACTGGTGATACGGACCTGCGATAATCGATACAAATATTTCAAATTTCCGAGTATACGTTTTTTTGAACTACGCACAATCAGTTTTCTAGAAATATATATTAACTCACATACCTTTAGAGTATTATATACTTAAGCATAAATTGTCCTTAAATTTCCAATCGTCTAGGAAATATAAGAACTGTAATTTCTGAGAAACTGGGAATCCTATGAGAGCACAGATTTGGCATTTCTAACCATTTCGGAAAAACTAAATCATTCCCATAGGTTTTTCTTCAAACTCTGTGGTTAATTAGCCGTTTTTTAGTCTAACAACTGCACTACCGTCTGCAACATTCGTCTCGCACTTGAAAACATGAAACCAACATCCAAGCCATTTTTCTATTCAAATTCCGACAGAGATTTACTTTCAAAAGTTAGTTTATTAAGTGAAAATATTATGATGTCTATATGGTAAATCATTTTGGAAACAATCTGATGAAATTTAACCTTTAATTGAAACCATAACTGGTGAAAAATAACCATCCCGTTGCAATTAAAAGTGGACATTGACCGTGACGATTAAATGATGACGATAAATATAACGAAAATATGCACATGGTTACATAACTATTTCGCATAAAAAAAAAAAGAAACAGTTACGTTATATAAAGCGTGATAATATGCGTGCATGACGTGCACACTACATTATCGTTTTGAGTGAAAACACTGTGACCAATAAGTTCATTGCAATCGATCGACCGCGCCTTGACGAACGTTGACTTGTACTCTCTGTACAGTTAATATAATTTATGTTCGGTCCTGTTACATATTAACAATAAGGCGCAGTTGGTAACACTTCCACGTGTCCCGGCGTGGACTAGTTGGTAACGCGTATATGTTGAACGTATATGTTTTCTCCTTCTTCGCCAACAGCACAGGAGTGTATAACACGCTCTGAACTGCATTTTATTATTCACTTTTTCGTTTTGTTTTGTTGTATTCCGGCTTTTCGTGCGCCTTCATCGACATTTTTCTATCACCTTTGGTTTTAACATGTGACGCATAAATCTTCGTCGCCGTTAATTAAGTATGCCTTCATTGTTCTTTGTGTTATAACATCGTTTCTTAACCTTTGTGTAGTGGCGACCCAAGATATTTACCAAATTTTTCCTACGACCTTTTTATAAATAATATTCAATGACAAAATAAAAAATAACTATTTGGTACTCTTAATTGAATAACATTTTTTACTCATATTACTTGTATTCATAACAAATCATAATATTAAATACATTATATTTAAAAATAAACATTTCTTTTAATAATATTGTATTGTTTTTTAAATAATTTTTTAATTTAATGACTTCCTTGGTTTTGATGTTGCTTTACCAATGAATCAATTTAGAGTTCTTCTATAGAATTAGTAAGTGAAATACGCATCGTGGGTTCGACATCAAGCTAGTTTTTTGATTTGGTTTTGATTGTAGTTAATATCTTTATTACAACATGTAAAAATATTAGTTAATGACCTTTGCATACTCAAATTTAACTAATTTAATAATGAAAAAATATCTGATAGATACGCAACTTTTTTCAACCAAATTATATCTTGAAAATGGATGGATAACAGTGAATTTTTTTCTCTTAAAAATACTTCTATTTCAGTTCTTAATTAAAAAAAATCTCGTTAAAATTTTTCTCCATGATAAACAACGTACATGAGGTTTCATTTATTATTAATAAGACTTAAAAATAAAAATATTTTACTAACGTTTTAAATTTTTATCCGACCCATTTAAAATTATTGGTGACCCAAAATTGGGTCGTGACCCTATGGTTAAGAACCGCTGTGTTATAATACGACGCTTTCGTCGTCGTAAACGTGATACGTGCGCCTTCGTCGCCGTTAGTTAAATGCGCCTTCGTCGTTCTTTGGGCTAGGTGAGTCTCGCTCACTTGTGCAAAAACGCTTATTCAATCTTGAAAGCTGTTTAAATTAAGATCCAGCATTATATGCCGAATATCAGCAATTTATGAAGGAATACTTGGCTCTGGGTCATATGAAAAGAGCGACATAGTCTGGAAAATATTTCATCCCGCATCATGCTGTCGTGAAACGTGACGGTAACAAGATCGAAAAGTTGCGTATTGTGTTCGATGCATTTGCTTCTACATCGTCGGGTTTATCGCTAAATGACGTCCTTATAGCTAGTCCTATGTTGCAGATTGATATTTTTGATATTCTTGTAAGGAGTAGGTTAAAACGTTATCTGTTAACCGCATACATAACCAAAATATATCGACAAATTTTGTTAAAACCCAATGATTGTGCGTACCAACATATATTATGGCGTGAATCTCCTGAGGAAGAAGTGATCGAATACGAACTTCGTACTATCACTTATGGCGTTACTTCTGCTCCATATTTGGCTATTCGATGTTTGCATGAATTAGATGCTCAGGCTGGTTCAAAATTACCAGCCGCGAAAAATATTCTCACTCGCCAAACGTACGTTGATGACGTGGTAGGAGCAGATACAGAATTTGAGTTATCTATCATTCAACGAGACATCATCGGCTTATTGAATTCTTGTGGATGCACCTTAAAAAAGTGAACAAACAACTGTCCGGTTATCTTGGAGAACATCGACACTAAAGATTATGTAAAACTATTGTCATTGGATCCCAAATGTGAGGTTTCTGTGAAGGTTTTAGGTCTTCATTGGGACCCATCATCAGATCATTTTGCTTACCACACAGGCCTTCACCCGGGTCAATATACCAAACGAAAAGTGCTCTCAACCATCGCTAGACTAATGGATCCAATTGGTTTCTTAGGACCCACACTGTTATGGGCCAAAATTTTATGCATGAATTATGGAAACTAGGTCTGCATTGAGACACTCCACTTCCAATACATCTTCACTGTAGTTGGGATCAATTTGTAAGAGATCTACCAGCACTCAATTCAATTATTCTTCCTCGACATATTGATATCCGATCACAAACGGAAATTCAACTAATAGGATTCTCTGATGCATCATCAAATGGTTATGCTGCTAATGTATACTTACGAGTAATAAGCACTTCAAAGTCTATCAACGTTTATTTTGTTACTTGCAAGACAAAGGTCGCACCATTAAAGGCTGCTGACCCGCACGCATCACTATCCATACCACGACTGGAGCTTTGTGGAGCAATATTATTATCTCAAACCTTAAATCGAGTCAAAACTTTACTCATGTCTGAAATTTCCATCTCACGAGTACTTGCTTGGACTGATTCTACAGTTGTCTTATCGTGATTGACTGCTCCTCAAAAAACTTTTAAAATTTTTGTGACAAATCGAATTGCAAAAATACATTCTCTTCTCCCAGATTGTGAGTGGGCCTACGTAAACACAAAGGAAAATACAGCCGATCCTGCATCTCGAGGTCTTCTTCCTGCTGCAACAGTTGCTTGTAAAATACACAGAGAAGGACCGGAGTTTCTACGTTTTTCAGATGCTCAATGGCCCAAATATAATTTCATTCCAATTACTTCTGAAAAATCGCCCGAATTTCAGCCTCCATCTGTCTTCATAAGTACCATAACTAGCACCAAACCACAAGATGATATTTTACAACGTTTCTTGTCCTTTACTCGTATGTAACGGACATTAGCGTACATTCGACGTCTTGCTGTCAAGGCCCATCATCAACCAATTCCAGATGGTCCCTTGAAACAAGAGGAGTTACATCATATTTTCATTCACGCAGTTTTTATTACACAAGCCAGATACTTTCCGGAACTCAAAGGTCAATTAATAAAAACAGATGGTGTTGGCACGCACCGTCGCGGGGCTATTGAAAGAAATCGTTAGCTGGCCGCGCAACACTCGCGGACGTCCGCTTCCAAAAAAATACAAAATACCCTTAAATTGTATGTGTGATAGGCTGAATGGACACTTAAGATAGAAAAGGCAAAATAACAGAATACCAAAGAAGGGTGTGCGCTTGGGCATAAACAAAAATTATATTATGTATACAACAAAAATAAACTCTATTATCTGATGGGCGGGGTGAAAATGCGAATGACGGCAGCTGACTCCTGTATACGATGGCGATTGATACGATTACCAACCCAAATAATCACCAAGGACTATGCTCGTCGAGGAAGTAGTTATCACTCCTGGAGGACGCGACGCACACGGCACAATGGCGTAAAATGTGGTCACGTGTGAGAAACACGCGGAAACAAAAGAGACGCGAACATACGCCAAATGGACGATCCACCTGGCCGGTCAGTAAAATCGGACGAAGGCACTGTCGCACACACACGAGGAAGCATACAACCCGACGTAAGCTCGATCGTTCCGCCGAAAACCAGTGGCACAGACACGGCAAAAATACGGTCGGTCGACCCCAACACACATGACCCCGCCGAAAAAACCAAAACGCCAGAAAAGTAACTCCGCCGAGACTGAGCGCGAGAAAAGGACTGCAGTGGGGTGTCCGCGCTAGCGGTAAAATACAAGTTCACAGTCATACAATATAGGAGTGGCGGGAACAGGTACAACATTCGCGACGAATCAGTGCTCGTTGCGACATCCACTGGAGAGATGGTGATAGTGCACAAATAGATGATATTTTAAGGTCAGCTACCATAGCTCAATTAGCTCCATTTATCGACCCACTTGGAGTGATTCGGGTGGGTGGTCGACTTCGTTATGTTTCTTTGGATTCGGATGCCAAACAACCTATCTTGTTACCGAAAAGGTCTCACTTGACCCAATTGATCATTCGACATTTCCATCAATGATTCTTACATGCCGGTCCTAAACTTTTCATATCAATGATCAGAAGAAAATTTTGGATTCTGTCCAGTAGAGATGCGATTCGCCAATTTATCTTTTCTTGTGTCATTTGTGTTCGTTTTAAGGCATGTCAACCACACTCAATCATAGGAAATTTGCCATCATCGCACGTCCAACAAAACAGGCCTTTTTTACAGGTCGGTATGGACTATGGTGGTTCGTTTTTAATCAAGGAGAGTCGCCGCCGTAATGCATGCACAAATAAAATGTATTTAGCTCTATTTATATGTATGTCGGTTAAAGCAGTTCATTTGGAAATTGTGTCGGACATGTCATCCACTGCATTTTTAGCTGCATTCGATCGATTTGTAGCTCGTCGTGGTATACTGTTCAATATATACACAGATTGTGGTACTAATTATGTGGGAACGGAAAAAAACTAATGGCGGTATTTCAGGATTATCAAACTCTACACATATATATATATATATATATATATATATATATATCACATTATATATAATGTTTCTACACATATATCTTGTCAATGGTATTTCAATCCTCCTGCAGCTCCACACTTTGGTGGGCTCTAGAAGGCAGCTATAAAGAGTGTCTAACATCATATGAAGCATGTGATTGGAAAACAAATCCTAACACATGACGAATTGTTAACATTAGTGACTCGCATAGAAGGGATATTGAATTCCAGACCTTTAACCCCACTCTCATCTGACCCTAATGATAAATGTGCTTTGACTCCCGGCCATTTTCTAATAGGTCAACCTATCATGGCTGTACCCGAACCTGATGTTATTTCATGTCCAATGAATCGTCTCGACCGCTGTGAGATACTCTATCAATGCCATCAAAAGTTTTGGAAACGATGGACTCGGGAATATCTTACCACCTTCCAAGGGCGTCTCAAATGGTACCAACCCACACCAAATTTATCCGAAGGAGACCTAGTCATCGTGGAAGCTCCGAATCGCCCATCTACGGACAGGCATTTAGGTCGTATTATTGCAGTCCACCCGGTGAAGATTCAATTGTACGTGCAGCAACCATTCAAACTCGAGATGGTGTACTTAGACGTCCAGTCGTCAAATTAGTAAAACTACCAGTATCCGACTCATTCATCTCTGATCAATCATTTATTCCTAAATTTTTTTTTTTTTTGCACTTTATGTTTTATGCACTTAACTAAGATAGTTTAAAGCATTCAGATGATTTTTTTTCAAGATGAGCTGTCCTAATTTTTTTAAAAGTCTACGTCTTTCAATGCTGGAAGAATGTTCGGTTCTGTTACATATTAACAATAAGGCGCAGTTGGTAACACTTCCGCGTGTCCCGGCGTGGACTAGTTGGTAACGCGTATGGTGAACGTATATGTTTTCTCCTTCTTCGTTACCAGCACAGGAGTGTATAACACGCTCTGAACTGCATTTTATTATTCACTTTTTCGTGTGTTTTGTTTTGTTGTTGTATTCCGGCTGTACGTGCGCCTTCGTCGACATTTTTCTATCGCCTTTGGTTTGTACATGTGACGCGTAAGTCTTCATCGCCGTTAATTAAGTGTGCCTTCATTGTTCTTTGTGTTATAATACGACGCTTTCGTCGTTGTAAACGTGATACGTGCGCCTTCGTCGCCGTTCAATAAGTGAGCCTTTGCCGCCATTATAATAAGTGCGCCTTCGCCGTATTTTATTGAAATTATATGATGCCCATTATCATTGTACTTGTGTGATACTCAATTTAGTGAGGATGTGGATCATTGCGGTTACCAGTCATCGTGGCGCCGTCTGGATACAGGTCAACCTTTTAATTATCTTTATAAAAACAAAATATATTTGTTCTGTGTGCCTATTGGGGACATTTACTTTGTATATTATACGTTGCTCCTCCCCCCTTTTTCCTTTAGTTTGTAAGCTTATTCAATGTTTATTTAATTTGATCAAATAAGACTTTGTATTTTGATAAACCAATTGTTGATCATTTTTATTATATCTCTCCTCCTTCATCCTTTGGTTTTCCATTTATACGTGTGGAAATCGACCGGATTCTGCCATTGCGATAAGCTCTCGTATGATACACCTACGAGAATTTCGCACGCACAATTTATTTAGTTAAAAACAACTGCAGTAAACTTATTAAATATAAATTATGTTAGCTTCAATAAATTGAGTTTTAGTCATAACTACAATACCTACTAGGAAAAAAAATATATTTCAAATTAATAAACGCTATACTGACTTTGGTAAAAGAGGATAATTTAAAATTTGTATTAGTTTCTGTAATATAATAATTATTGATATTAAGTGTAATGTTAAATTTAATATTTTCCGGTAGTATATTAAATTGTTGATATAATTATTAAACAATTGTTTGTAATTTAATAGTACGAGTCAAGAACTAATGCAGCTAAGAAACTCCACCGACATCTGCTGGTTGAAGGTGTTCGAAAAATAATTGTACACAGATAAAAATTAAAACAAAATAATATATGACTTCATTGAATAAGCTGTACATATTATTGTTAATAAAATTACGTGTGTAATTATTGTCTTAAGAACAACTCGAACAACTAAAATGAAGACCAGCGGTTGATCGTCCGCAATAGCTTGAACGTGAACCGTCAAAGGTGAGGCAGAAAGTACGATCTAAATCTAATAGTCTAATGTCTGGTAAAGTACTCGTAATGTATATATATATATATATATATATATATATATATATATATATAGGTCTTGTATGGACGCTACGTGTTTCCCGAAGGTTGTAAACAAGGAAATATGACACAAATACTTAACAGTAAGGAAAGTA